TAGAACCTTCCCGGTACAATACCGAAAAATCCCGAACATTTTCCGGTGGCCAAAATAGGACTTCCCATATATAAATCTTTACCTCCGGACCATTCCGGAACTCCTCGTGACGTCCGGGATCTCATCCGGGACTCCGAACAACATTTGGTAACCACATACAAACTTCTTTTATAACCCTAGCGTCATCGAACCTTAAGTGTGTAGACCCTACGGGTTCGGGAGACATGTAGACATGACCGAGACGTTCTCCGGTCAATAACCAACAGCGGGATCTGGATACCCATGATGGCTCCCACATGTTCCACGATGATCTCATCGGATGAACCACGATGTCAAGGACTTAATCAATCCCGTATTCAATTCCCTTTGTCTATCGGTATGTTACTTGCCCGAGATTCGATCGTCCGTATCCAATACCTTGTTCAATCTCGTTACCGGCAAGTCACTTTACTCGTTCCGTAACACATCATCCCGTGATCAACTCCTTGGTCACATTGCGCATATGATGATGTCCTACCGAGTGGGCCCAGAGATACCTCTCCGTTTACACGGAGTGACAAATCCCAGTCTCGATCCGCATAAAACAATAGATACTTTCGGAGATACCTGTAGTGCACCTTTATAGTCACCCAGTTACATTGTGATGTTTGATACACCCAAAGCACTCCTACGGTATCCAGGAGTTACACGCTCTCATGGTCGAAGGAAGAGATACTTGACATTGGCAAAGCTCTAGCAAATGAACTACATGATCTTTTGTGCTATTCTTAGGATTGGGTCTTGTCCATCACATCATTCTCCTAATGATGTGATCCCGTTATCAACGACATCCAATGTCCATAGCCAGGAAACCATGACTATCTGTTGATCACAACGAGCTAGTCAACTAGAGGCTCACTAGGGACATATTGTGGTCTATGTATTCACACGTGTATTACGATTTCCGGATAATACAGTTATAGCATGAATAAAAGACAATTATCATGAGCAAGGAAATATAATAATAATACTTTTATTATTGCCTCTAGGGCATATTTCCAACACTCAGGCCCCTAGGACTGGTGTTCCGTCATCTGCTGCTGCCATGGAGACTGAGGAGGAGTTTGGTGCTGAGGCTGAGGATGAGGATGATGACTACGTGCCCTCTGGGACAGAGCCATCTTGGGCAAAGAAGCTCAAGGCCAAGGTAAAGAAGCTCTTCTGCATGGAGTCTCACGGCCAGTACATGGCTCACGTGGCTGAGAAGAAGGCCCGCGGTCGCCACAAGGAGCTCATGCGTGAGATGGGTGCTATTGTGATTAGTGGCTCTGAGGATCAGCTCACCGAGGAGGAGGAGTGGATTCAACAGCACTGCCCTTGGACTGATTCTGATGCTGAGCACTTCCCGGCTGACGATGGTGGCGCTGATGACCCCTCTGAGATCTGATGCGTGTGTCCCTCTTTTGCTCCCACCTGTAGCGGTAGCAGCACTCCCTCTCCTTTTTGGTGTCTCGGTGCCAAAGGGGGAGAGAGTTTAGGGATTTGCGAGTTGTGTCTTCGTGTCTTGTTCGTGGTTGTGTCTTGTTCGTGTTTTCCTTGCATTTGCTTTGGTTGGTTTGTCTGTGAGACCTAAGTTCGAGTGAGACTTAAGTTCGAATCATATGGTGTGAGACATATGCTACCTTACCTTTCAGTATCATTATCTATGTCTATCTAGCTCATGAGTTGCGTGCTTCTCTTGTTATATCATCTATGCTACTCTCATACACCATGCTTAGATTATTGGTCTCTAAAATGTAGGGGGAGCTTTGATCCGAGTATGTGTGCTATGCAGTCCAAAGCACTTATCTAAATAGCACACATCGAGGGGGAGCCCATCTACATGTTAGGACCGTCGGGTTTGTATGCTTACTATATCATGTTTATGCAAATCCCGTATTGTCATCAATCCACCAAAAAGGGGGAGATTGTAAGGGCATATTTATTCCCTAGTGGTTTTGGTGATTGATGACAATGCTTTTGCGGTCTAATCGTGTGCGTTAAGTTCTTTCAGAGAATCATCCATTGGCACGAGACGATTTCCTCCTCTCGGTGTTTTTATTCAAGATGGTGTAGCTCCTGCGTTTCGTGTTGGTGGACTAGTCTCGTAGGAGTCACCGTACTATTAAGAGGGGATCCGTTTTGGTAAGACTTGGGTGGAATCAACACGTACACATCCTTATCACACCCGTCGTCTTCCTGTCGCTTCTTTGGAGCTGCACCTCTCTTCCGTTCCTGCTTCGCCCTGTGCCAGCGGTAGTACCGCGATCTACAGCGGTAGTACCGCCGAAGCCCCCTAGCGGTAGTACCGCTCCACAGAGCGGTAGTACCGCTCTTAGCGGTAGTACCGCTCCGTAGAGCGGTAGTACCGCTCGCGGGCTTCGGCCGTAGTACCGCGTAGTACTGCGCCTACTGCCGCCTCGATTCGAGACGGTGTTTTCTCGTGTCGGGTTTTGCGGCACTAGTAGCGGCAGTAGAAGCTGTAGTACCGCTCTTAGCGGTAGTACCGCTCTACTCCCGCGGTAGTACCGCTCTGGGGCCAGTGGCCTGACTTTCTCTTCAGCGCGGTAGTACCGCTGGATAGGGAGTGGTAGTACCGCCCTCAGCGGTAGTACCGCCCTTCCCTAGCGGTAGTACCGCTCTGTGCGGGGCTGCTCAGCGGGGTAACGGTTGGATGTGTTCCCCCACTATTTAAAGGGGTCTTCTTCTTCCTAGTTGACCTACCTCTTTCCCCCAAAGCTCCATTGATGCTCAAAGCTCCATTTTCGCCCGATCTCTCTCCCTAGCCAATCAAACTTGTTGATTTGCTCGGGATTGGTTGAGAAGGCCCAGATCTTCACTTCCACCAAGAGAAATTTGATTCCCCCCACTTATCCCTTGCGGATCTTGTTACTCTTGGGTGTTGAGCACCCTAGACGGTTGAGGTCACCTCTAAGCCATACTCCATTGTGGTGAAGCTTCGTGTTGTTGTTGTTGTTGTTGGGAGCCTCCGGTTGTTGTGGAGTTTGCCCCAACCTTGCTTGTAAGGGTTCGGTCGCCGCCTTCAAGGGCACCAATAGTGGAATCACGGCATCTCGCATTGTGTGAGGGCGTGAGGAGAATACGGTGGCCCTAGTGGCTTCTTGGGGAGCATTGTGCCTCCACACCGCTCCAACGGAGACGTACTTCCCCTTAAAAGGAAGGAACTTCGGTAACACATCCTCGTCTCCACCGACTTCACTCTTGGTTAATTCGTGCCCTTACTTTTGCAAGCCTACTTGTTGTTACATCCTTGCTTGCTTGTGTGCTAGTTGTTTTTGCATCATATAGGTTGCTCACCTAGTTGCACATCTAGACAACCTATTTTGTTGCAAAGTTTAATTTGGTAAAGAAAAGCTTAAAAATTGTTAGTTGCCTATTCACCCCCCCTCTAGTCAACCATATCGATCCTTTCAGAGGCGTATGTTGCTTCTGACTCCTTCCCCGGCCATAACTATCGTTGGACGGCGGTTTATTTAGTCCATCAGCATAGAGCCAAGACCCATACTTCTTGTCCTTCTCCTCATGCACCCCTGATCCGCACTCTTTGCAATCATGACCGATGAGCCCACACACACTGCAGAAGCGTGCGAGTTTCTCGTAACGCACCAAGTAGACTTGGCGTTCTTTCCCCCTGACAATACTGACAAACTTGGTGAGAGGCCAGCGCACGTCATGCCGAACCCTAACCCCAATGTAGTCACCACGGGTGTTCCCGTTCAGTCTCATCTCCAGGATCTCGCCAGAGTTTTTCAGCAAATTTTCCACAATGTTCTTCCTGCAGAAACCTTCTGGGATCTTGTGAATCTGTAGCCAAATTGGCATGAACACCATGGAAACTTCCTCTGCCTTTGTGAAACCATCATATGGAACCATCAACACGAGTAAATTCCTGAATAGCCAAGGCCCTTGATGCAGCATACGTTCCCAATCTCCCAAGCACGATGCTTGTACAACAAAAAGCTTCGGCCCAACCGGGCGAAACCTTACCGGCTGCGCGGGGTTCCAAGCCGCCCGCATATCCTTGTAGAAGGCCGCTTGGCTGAAGGTTTTCTCGGTATGAACCCTAGCCAGCGCGAGCCATCTTACGCTTTCATTGATCTCCGGATCAGCCTCATCTATCACCAGATCATCAAAGTCTTCATCTTCCAGGTTGAGTTGTTCCATGAAATCTCCAAGGTCCAGCATTCCGTGAGAGCCGCCGCCAGCGCTGGTGCCTGTCAGGGCGTCCGCGGGAGGCTCCATCGCTACCGAGGGGCAGGGAGGAGCGAGGTTTGGCCGATCGAGAGAGCCGCTCACGGGGAGGTAGATCGATCGGGGTGGGATACTCAGGGGCGACGGCGTCGCCCGAGAGGAGAGAAACCCTAGCCTTGCGCGATGGGAAAACCATCACCGATCTGTCCTTCCTTTGTGTCTCCAACATCGAAAACGATATGGTTTGGATCTGCATCTCAAATTTAGTAAAATACGCAGTAGGAGTACTAATTAAGCATATGCCACCCGTGTTCATGTCTAAAAATGAGTCATATTTGTTTTACGGTAATTTTGACTTTTGAGAGTGTGTTTTTGTCTTTTTAGAACTGGACGCGTCCGGCAGCTCAGTCGTCGGAACGAAGTACCATGTCGTATGCACTTCAGCAGCGAGTCGCCATCGTGCCGGTGCTTCAGCTTGTGTACTACTGCCTATAACATGCCTGCCTACCGCTCCACCGGAACCCCTCCCTCTCTCTCTCTCTCTCTCTCTCTCTCTCTCTCTCTCTCTCTCTCTCATCAGCCAATCCAATCCTTGTTCCGGCGAAATTCGAATCCCGCCAGCGTCCATCCCTCTTGCTCAACACCACTTCCAACGAGATTCGAAACCCGTCGCCGCCATCTGCACTCTGCAGCCCCATTCCTCTTGCTCGCGCGCTGCCACCCGGACGACGACGGCGACGGAGAAGCAAGCCGGCCGGCGAGCTGAACCAATGGAGGCGGTCTTCAGCAGGTATGGATGCAACAATCGCCGCTCCTCCGTTCGTTTGATTTTAGTACCGTGCTTGCGCGTAAGCGCTCTGTCTTGGCACCCAGCCTGCGCGCCTCCCTCCTTCGCCGGCCGCGCCGAGCCTAGCCCTAGCCTAGCGGCCCCAGCCTAACGCAGCTCAGTCGCGGCGTCGACGGAGGGAGAGTCCAAACTGGCTAGGGTTCTGGCCTGGGTCGCCGACCGCTCCCACCCTCGACCCGCTGCGCGCCTTGCCGTGCCGCCCAGCACGCTGCTCGTCCCGCCGCGCCCTCCGCAATCCGCAGTGCCGCTCGCCCAGCAGGCATTGCCATGATGGCCGCCGCGCCGAGCAACTAGGCCCAAGCTCCGCAAGTGCTCGCCTCGGCGTGCCGTCCGCCTCTGGCCGCGAGGATTAGCCGCCCTGATATCAGAAATTGTACTAATTTCTGGTACAAAAATCTTGTAATATTAGCCGCCCAGAATCAATCGATACGGCAATTGATTCAATTATTTAAAATAGCTTCTTCTTCTTTTCGAGCATTTGAAATTGATCTTAACAATGTGGCGTACCTGCCTTTGAACAGGTCAGCTGAGATTGCCGGTATTTCCAACAGGATGGTGAATGATTGGGAAGGAATAGTCCTCGACTTCCGCAGTAGCGACGAATCAACAATTCATCCAGCAAATGACCTCCTCGTACAAGCCCTGCAGCATTATTTTGGTGACACATACTTGGCGCAGTCAGTAGTACAACACACCACTGAACTTTGCTCTCACATGATTCGTCTCTGGCGATCCAAGCTGGAGCAAGACGCAGAATTGATACACCCAGGTGAGAAGGGTCGAAAGTACATATTTCTCTTAAATAACACATACGTTGTTCGTCAAACGGTGTCGCGTCAAGGAGCATATTTTCCCAAAGTAGAACTGAGGAGTCGGCTCAGTTCAATGATCGAGGGATACAAGAAGGGCTACTTGGACGAGTGTTGGGCTCCTCTGAACCGTTTAAAATCGGAGGAGTTTACGGCCGAATTTCTTGCCACCTGTAATCGCCAGAGGACGTGGAAGGTTACAGCTGAGCTCAGGTACCAACTGCGGCAGGAGATTCTGGATTTGGTTGTTTCACATTCACCGTATGAGGTATCCAACGGAAGCTGTATGATGGAAGGATTATTTGAAGGATGACGAGCTAAGCTAATCGGGAGGATAGGACACTGGACTGGTACACGACCGTTGCAGTCATTATATTTGGAGCTTCCTGCCATATCTTGCTAGTTGCACCTGTGCCCGTTCTGTCTTCTATATATAGGGTTGACTTTATGTATACAAAGTAAATTGAGAGTGTTGTTTCTGTTAGAGTTGCGTCGAATATTATTGTACAAGGTAGGTTACAGTCGGACTTGATTTTAGATTCTGTGTAGACAGAGTACGAGTTGTGTTCTAATAAAACATTTGTACACTTGTATCCTAGGCCTCTCATATATAGCGAGGGTAACACCGCAAAAAAAAATATAGCGAGGGTAGACACACGATGTAAACATAATAGCACAGGCACGCGGGAGAGTCGGCGGCATGTGCCGGCGCCCGGGCGGCCGGGGTGCGGTATTGTAGCGGTGTCACGGGGAGGAGCGCTCGTAGTCAGGCCCCGGGGATGTAGCCATATTGGTGAACCTCGTTAACAAATCTCGGTGTTGTGCTCGTGTGATTGTTTGGTTCTCGGTAGATTGACGGTGCGCCTCGGATTTATTCTAACAAGTGGTATCATGAGCAAGGTTTCGAGAAGGTCGTGGAAGTTGATTTAGAGGAGAACGATGAAGACCGGCGGCTGTGGCCTGTGGGGCACGGCGTACGTGCGGCAGCGATCAGAGGTCGTCGTGTATAAAGCAATCTGGAGATGAAGCGGTTTCACGGATCGATTACGAATGAGTCGCAGTTGTCGTCAAGTTCGAAGCTCGGTTTGATGGCCAACAGCTGGAGCGACTTGGAGTTGGATTATCGATCGAGAGGCGGCTTTTTTTAGCATCAGTACAGACACAAGCGTTCATATACACGCGCATACACTCACCCCTATGAATACATACACGTACATCTTATCCTTATGAGCACCTTCGAAAGACTGAACCGGTCTATCATATGTGACCTGTTTTTGGCGAACTTCTTCGAGGCCGAATCGATGGACGCGCAGGAGTCAGATCCGATTTGTGTGGCAGCGTGTTCAGGCGTGCAGCACCAGGACACCTCCGCAGCGACGCGTACAAGGCGGCTTCCCGGGCGCTGGGGTCGTACCAGTCGAGAGAGCGTGAGGCGGTGCACCTGCTGGCGGCCGAAGAGCTGGGCGGCCCACATGCGACAGGCTTTTCCAAGCGGAGGCCTAGCTCGGGACAGCTCGTGGTCCAGCTGGGATTTACGAGATTTCTCAAAAAACAAAAAAGCTGGGATTTACGAAGGCCGGCTGGTGGTGCGCGCGGGCGTATGGAGAGGATGGAGCAGAGATATGCATGCATACGCAGGTTCAGCCAAGTACTTGGGTCTACCTGTATACATAGGGAAAATAAAAAAATACTTTAAATTACTTAAGAGAGAATGTTTGGAAAAAGATACAAGGCTGAAAGGAAAAACTCCTGTCGAAGGCAGGGAAGGAAGTGCTTATCAAAGCTGCAACTCAGGCGAAGTATACACAATGGCATGTTTCAACCTGACCAAATCTTTTTGTGAGGATTTAAGTGCAATGATTGTGCACTGCTGATGGAGTCAGATGGACAAGACAAATAAGATACACTGGTGTAAGTGCATCTAGTGCCATCCCTAGTTGGTTTTGGAGTATTGACGACAAAGTTGGTTGAGGGACTAATGCGTTTGTGAGAATTGCAGGATAACGCATGTAGTGTCCCTCATTGATTCGATTTACCTACCGGAGATGACCCCTAAAAATGTATGAAGACAGTGACGACAATGGTGGTATGTGAAGATATTCATATTGAAGACTATGACATGAGAAGACATTGAGTGAAGACTATGGAGCGCAAAGACTGTGTTGTTTTGTTGTTTCCTTTTCTTCTTTGTTGAGTCATAGGAACCACCGTACTGTTAAGTGGGGTCCAAGTGAACAAAGTCAGAATGACTGAAGTGATGCTCAACCCAAATCCTATGTCTTCGAGCGAAGACAATGAGAGCAAATCTTATCCAGAGCTGGATGAGTCAGCTTTGCTTGTAGCCCAAGTAAAGTTGCCGTGTGTGTTTGAAATCTGACCATTGGAACACATGTCAGTTCCTTAGTGACCCAGGGTCATTTCGGACATATCAGGTCAGGTTGTCTTGTGGCTATAAATAGCCCACCCCCTACACCATAAATTGGTGGCTGCTCAGAGTTAGTACACGGCTTTTGTTGTTTGAGAGCAACCCACCTCGAAGCCTTTGAGGGAGAGAAATCCTTGCGAGGACAAAGCCCAAACACCCAGAGCCAAATAGTGTTAGGCATCACTGAAGTCTTTCTGTCTGAGTGACCTGAAGACTTATTACACTTGAGGACTGTGTATCCTCCAGCCGGTTAGGCGTCGCGTTCTGAGCATCCAAGAGTCATTGTGGATCGCCGGTGAACGAAGTCTGTGAAGGTTCGGAAGTCTACCTTGAAGACTTACCAGAGTGATTGGGCGAGGACTGTGTGTCCTTAGCTCAAGGGGAATAAGGTGAAGACGCGGTCTTCTGAGTTGAATCTTAGCCTCCCTAGCCAGACGTACAGTTGTCACAGCAACTGGAACTGGTCCAATAAATCCTGTGTCTTCAGCAAGTGACTGGTTCTATCCTCTCCCTTCCTTTACTTTGAGTTTGTCTTTGTGAAGTCATTGCCTATTTGTCGTACATGTTTAACTTCATTGCTTGACTACTATCGTTGGTTGGCTTCATATTATCTTCCATCCTGATCCTTACTACCAAGCTGCTATTAGTCTTTGTACTTTCACATTATTGCATACTTGACTATGGTTTGCTTGTTGTAGTTTATCTTCCGCTGCATATCAATTAGGTCATTTCTATTGTTTGTCTTCGAAACTTCCACGTTTTGAAGACTTTGATAAAAATCGCCTATTCACCCCCCTCTAGTCGATAACTAGCACTTTCAATTGGTATCAGAGCAAGGTACTCCCTTGTACTGTGTGATTCGGTTTAACCACCTGGAGTTTAGCTATGTCGACTGCAGGGATAATCAAAGTCTCCGCTGCTTGCCCCATGTTCGATGGAACTGAATATCCCTACTGGAAGAATAAGATGCGCATGCATCTTGAAGCCATTGATGTCGACCTCTGGTATGTCGTCAAGAACGGCGTTCCCAAAACTGGTGAAGGTGTCACCCCTACTGATGTCAAGAAGTTCATTCAACTGGACTCTACTGCAAAGAACATCATCTGTGGTCATCTGACCAAAGGACATTATGGCCGTGTGAGTGCTCTGGAAACGTCAAAACTAGTCTGGGACTGGCTATCCAAGGTCCACGAAGGCGTCTCAACTCAGAGAGATCAAAGGATCAGTGTTCTTCACAACCTCTTCAACCACTTCAAGAGAAACGACAATGAAAATGTCCAACTCACGTTTGATCGCCTCACCGACATCACAAATGAGCGTTAGGCTCTCGGCGCCACTGAGATTACCAAGCATGAAATCGTCAAGACACTACTGAGATCACTTGATAGCTCCTTTGACACCCTTGCCCTCATGATACAAGGACGCCCTGACTTCAAGACACTCGATCCGTCTAATATACTTGAGAGTCTCAACACACATGAGTTCCAGCTTTCTGAGAAAAGAGATATCTATGGTCCCAACTATGGCCGAACTCGTGCTTTGAAGGCAAAAGTTATTTCCTCATTTGAAGAAGAATCTGACTGCGGTTCTGATGATCCTGAAGACATTGGAAAGGAACTTGCTATGCTTGTGAAGAAGTTCCAGAAGTTCACCAAGAAGAAGGGCTTCAGAAAGTCTTCACGATCTAGCTCAAGAAATGATGAAGCCTTCACTCATGACAACAAGAAGAGAACATGTCACAAGTGCAAGAAACCTGGACACTATATCTCTGAGTGTCCGCAGTGGGACAATGAGAAGAACAAGAAGAAGAGCAAGGAATATGATTCTGATGACAAGAAGAAGAAGAAATCTTCAAAGTCTTCCTCCAAGTCCTCATCAAGGTCTTCATCTCATAAGAAGAGCTCATTTGGCAAGGCTCGTGCTTTTTTTGGCAAGGAAATTGATTCAGAGGAGGAGTGTGCTTCTGAGGAGGCGGAGGTGGAGTCTGAAGAGGAGTCCGACCCTGGCGTTGCAAGTCTGGCTCTAGCCACAGCCTATGTTGCCAAGTCCATCTTCAACACTGAAGACAATGACTTCCACACCAACGCTGAAGCTGATGACAAGGACGATCCTGCTCCCACCTACTGCTTCATGGAACGTGGTGCCAAGGTAAAATCACGTGATGCTTACTTTCAAACATCAAGTGAAGATGACTCTGATTGTGAATCCAAACCCACCTACAAAACACTTGCTAAAATTGCAACTGAACAACAAAAAGCTATGGAACATACTCAAAAATTGTTAGACAAAAGCAATGACCTGTTGGACGCGGAAATGACACGTTCACAGTCCTTAGTTGAAGACATAAAAAATCTTCATGCTAAGTACCAAGAACTTGAAAGTCTTCATAAGACGCTCTCAACCACTTATGAAAAGCTCTCTGTCGGTGTCAAAACCGGCGGATCTCGGGTAGGGGGTCCCGAACTGTGCGTCTAGGCGGATGGTAACAGGAGACGAGGGACACGATGTTTTTACCCAGGTTCGGGCCCTCTTGATGGAGGTAAAACCCTACATCCTGCTTGATTAATATTGATGATGTGGGTTACAAGAGTAGATCTACCACGAGATCAAGGAGGCTAAACCCTAGAAGCTAGCCTATGGTATGATTGTTGTTCGTCCTATGGACTAAAGCCATCCAGTTTATATAGACACCGGAGAGGGCTAGGGTTACACAGAGTCGGTTACAATGGTAGGAGATTTACATATCTATATCGCCAAGCTTGCCTTCCACGCCAAGGAAAGTCCCATCCGGACACGGGACGAAGTCTTCAATCTTGTATCTTCATAGTCTTGGAGTCTGGCCGATGATGGTAGTTCGGCTATCCGGACACCCCCTTGTCCGGGACTCC